TTCTACTTATCCTTAGAATTATGTGCATACTCTAACGATGAGTGGGCTAGTGATCCTATTTATCACAAGTCCATTAAGGTTTTTATATCTTTTTGGGTGACTCTCTTATTTCTTGGAAGAGCAAAAAGCAAACGGTTGTTTCCAGATCTTCCACTAAAGTAGAGTATCGTGCTATGGCTTCTACTACTTCTGAGATTGTTTGGTTATAGTGGCTACTGGGTGATATGGGTGTTTCTCTTCCTCATCCCACCCTATTTATTGTGATAACAAAAGTGCTTATTCAGATAACACCCAACTTTGTCTTCCAAAAGCAGACTAAGCATATTGAGATCAACTATCATGTAACTCATCATGTTCTTCAGCATGGCACTCTTACTTTGCCTTTTATTTCCTCTTCCTAGTTGATTTGTTTACAAAACCTCATTCTATATTGTGTTTTCGTTTTTTGGTTGGCAAACTCCCAATGCTACGTGCTGCTGCATTATGAGTTTGAGAGGATGTAGAATTATTATCTTAATGGTAGTTTAGTATTTTTCACGTATAAGGGCAGTTTAGCCTTTTTCCTTGTAACCTTTTTATCTTTATCTTCATCTTCGTGTTTTTACTGTATTGCTTTTAGGACGTTCCTATGGATGAAACCCTAGCCTCCTCTCTTTTGAGTTTCTTCAATATATTTGTTTTCCTTTGATTTATCAAGCGCAACACCAACCTAAAATTGTTAGTGTTTTAGATGAATAATACATAATAGAGTAACATGCCACAAAGCAAATGGTTTGCTGGGTGCACAATGATTGAATCCCATCTTTTGAAACCTGAGAAATATATTTTGTATAATCCTGTTAATTAGCAAATACAAATATTATTCCTTGACTCAGTAGGTGTATAATCCTGTTAATTAGCAAATACCAATATTATTCCTTGGCTCAGTAGGTGATGAATATCCCACCTCCTTAAATTATTATGAATGTAAGATCACCAACCTAGGTGCATTTATTCTTCAAAATGAATTCTATGTATCTCCGTTTTGTTTGTTTCTCAAATTTTGTCTCCGAAATATCCTTTAACATTATTTTAAGGATACATTTGTAATATATGATTATATCATTCTTAAGGATTAATGTCACGTACACTCCTTTTAAGTAGCCAACTTTACACCCTGAACTGTAAGTTTCCCCCACTAAAATGAATGACTGACTTAGTATAAATTAATTGACTTATGTTAAAGATTGAATCTCTTTGGTAGAAGAAGAATGGCGGTAAGAATGTCTGCGAGAATGGCGGCTGGAGGACTCTAAAGATGTCCAGAAGAAAGCATGCCGCAACATAGAGAAAGGTTTGCCACGGCGGAAGATGAATGTTGCGGCATAGAGAAAGTCATGCCGTGGCACCAAGAAGAAATCTGCTCTGGAAAAGTTCCAGAGAACAGCATGCCACGGCAGAAGAAAATCTATGCCACGACATGGGCAAAGGAAGTTTGTTGTTTAGATTGAATCAAAATGTAGTTATTTGCAGTTATGATTCTGTAACTTCCTTAATTGTTATCTTGACAGTTGTTTTAGTTAAGTAAATCTTATCCCTTATACAAATATATAAATAAGGGAACGAAGAATATATGGCTTAGTGAAGAGAAAGAGAGATTGTATCTCTTCCTTGTTGGATAGAGAAGAGAGTGATGTATCTCTCTCCTAGAGGTGGGCAAAAGTTGGGCCCAACGGTCCCAACCAAATTGGCTGGGACTAGTCTTGAGCCCGTCACTTTTGTGAGGGCCCAGACCGATCCCAGGCCTAGGCCTGGCCTGTTTAGGACCGTTCCTATGGGCCTAGAAAAATTTAATTTAACCATTAATTATAAAATTATTTTTAACCCTTGAATTTATTATGTATTTTATATATTATAAGGGGGTTTTGGTTATTTGTCAAGAGGTTTTTCAAATTAATCGGGCTCGTCCCACTCCCGAGCCTTGGAGGAGGAGCCAAACTTGGGATCAGTCACCCTCCCCAGGGCCCAGTCTAGTCCCTGGACCGATCCTACAGGGACCTGTCCTCCCAAGGACCGATCTTGAGACTGATTTTTAGGCCAAGCCTTTTGCCTAACTCTACTCTCTCCCTCATGGGAGAGACATTATGAGGGAGAGAGATTGATGTATGTTTCTCTTCCCTATGTATGAAGAAGAGCTATTGAATGAATGAATTTGTTTTGCTTCCTTTGCACCAGTTCATCTCTCTTATATTTTAGAAGCCTTTGAATTGATTTTAAGGCTTCTAATTCCAACAACTTGCCTGTCAAAGTGAGAGAAAGATCGTGGGTGCTTATCTGGAGTAATATAGTTCAATATTGATGTAATTTCCAGGTTAAATCAATTAATATGTAGAAGGAATTGTTTCAAAATAATTAATAAACGTAATATAACATCACTAGTCACTATTTTTGGGTGAAATGATGTACTGGAAAGGTACACAGGTTGAAGTTTTTGACATATAATTCTTACAACCAAAAGTCAAATTTAAATAATCTTCCAGGGCTTTGAAGCTGACCGGTATGAGAAATTTGGGTGATATCCATCCCTTGGATAGATAGATAGATAGAGAGGGCAGAGCTTTTGGTTTTTCTTTCTTNGCTTGAAAAGAAGGGTTAAAAAATTTGTAAGACAAATAATTAGAGAGAAAATAGCACTTACCATTTGATAAAGGAGCTGCTGTGGAAAACGATTGTTGAGGTGAATCAAGCAAGGCTTGTTGACAGTGAAAATCCTTGAGGTATTGAGGTGCATTTCTGGTTCTGGTGGATTTTCGAAGTGGTAGGGGTTGAGGTTGAGATTGAATGGTGGTTGGATAGGAAGAAAAAGTAGGAATAGAGGAAGGGGAAGTGGAAGTGGAGGGCGGGGAATTACGGATATGTGGTGGAGGGGAAAGGATTGGAGTAGGTTGTGAGAGAGGTGGAGCTGGAACCATAATAGTAGGAGGATTTAGAATGGGAGGAGGAGATTGGGAAGAAGAGAAAAAAGTTAGAGAAGGATTAGTGGAGACGGGTAAGTTGGTGGTCTGAAATGGAAAAATAAATTCATGAAAGGAAATATCCCTTGAAATAAAAATGGTGCTAGTTTTAATATCCAAAAGTTTATAGCCCTTGGTTCCAAAAGGATAACCAAGGAATATGCAAGCCTAACCTCTAGGGTCAAATTTTTTTCGATTATGGGAAAGAGTGGCAGCAAAACAAAGAGAACCAAAGATTCTCATGTGGGCATATTCAGGTGGTTTGTGAAAAAGGAGCTCATATGGTGTTTTATTATCTAAGAGGGGTGTGGGAAGCCGGTTAATAATATATGTGGCAGTGAGTATGGATTCATTCCAGTAAATTAAGGGAAGACCAGCTTGGAAAAGAAGGGCCCGTGCCATATTTAACAAATGTTGATGTTTTCGCTCAACAATTCCATTTTGTTGAGGAGTGGCCACACAACTTTTATGATGGATGATGCCGGTTTTATTAAAAAAATCTTGCATATTAAACTCAGCACCATTGTCACTTCGAAGGACTTTGATTTTTGTGTGAAATTGTGTCTCAACAAGATTATAGAAAGCCTCAATGCATTTTCTGGTTTCTGTTTTGGTGGCAAGTAAATAAAGCCATGTTGTTGGGGAAAAATCATCAACGATGGTTAAGAAGTATCGTGAACCATCATGTGCGATTTCTGAGCAAGGTCCCCATATATCCCAATGAACTAATTCAAAAATATGTGAAGATGAATGGGAGCTCACAGGAAAAGGGAGACGGTTAAATTTAGCTAAGGGACAAATGCTGCAAGAATTTGTATTAATGGATGAACTCTGTCTGTGTATAATAGGATCAGAAATTAAATGTAACCTAGAATGAGATAAGTGACCTAGGCGACAATGCCAAAGATCTATGCTAGAAACAGAGTTTGTAACAGAAGAAAAACAAGTAAAAGGAGTATGTCTTGTGGAAGGGAAAGCCGAAAGGTAATTTGTGAGAGCTGAGGGAAGAACATCCTTGCAACTGAAATGATATAAGCCATGCCGGAGTTCACCCGTTCCAATCATTCTCTATGCAAGCAGGTCCTGTATAAAACAGTGAGTAGAAAAGAAAAGCAAACAACAATGAAGTTGAATAGTTAGTTTGTTTGCAGAAATTAAGTTGAATGAAAAAGAAGGAACGCATAGAACATCTTTAAGAATAATGGAACCGGATAAGTGAATGGTCCCAATGTGTGTAACAGGTGCTGAATTCCCATTTGGGAGTTTTACAAAATAAGAAACAGTGGAAGTAATAGAGGTGAAGAAAGAGGTGTTGCAGACCATATGGTCTGTAGCGCCTGTGTCAATGATCTAATTGATGGATGGGTCAGGATTGAAAATGTTTGTGTGTATAGATAAAGAAAAGGGAATACCAGACATCTCTGTACGAATTAAAGGTGGATTGCTGGAATGAACAGCAGAAGCCTCAATTTGAGATTCCTGAGGATGGAGTAGTGCTATGATATGCAGATATTGTTGCTTGGTCAGAACGTACTTGTCATCACCCTTATCTTCAGGGTCAGTAGCAAAAGAGAGAGCAGTCTGATTAGCAAGAAAGGCAGGAGATGGTTGCTGTTTAGTGTGGTATTTGTGTCCTGGAGGGTAGCCATGGAGTTTGTAACACTTCTCAATGGTGTGCCCAGTTAAGTTACAATGCGAACAAAGGGGCGGCTCAGCATTGCCAGCTTTGAAGCATGTTTCAAAGGAGTGGCCGGGGATTTTGCAATGGCTACAATATGGGCGATCTTTCTTGGAAGGATGGTTCGGTTTGGGGAAAGATTTGTATGGTGTATATGGTTTCTTGACAGCTATGGCCATGGTTTCGGTGGATGGGGTATGGGAAGTAATTTGGTGATGGTGTTCTTGCTGCTACACAAGAGAAAAGACTTTTGAAACAGGGGGAAAGGGATCCAGAAGCATGATCTGGTCACGGATGTGGGAATAGGAGTCATGAAGACCCATTAAAAACTAAAGCACACAGTCTTGCTGGTAGCGATCCAACAAGGTTTTCATGGCACCACACTTACAAGTAGGGAAAGGATCGTACATAGAGAGCTCATCCCAAAGAGATTTTAATTTTCCAAAGTAAGTGCTTACCGAATCATGTTCTTGAAGGAGAGCAGCCATTGCCTTTTTAAGCTGATAGATGCGGGGGCCATTTTGGTGAGAAAAACGTGCTTCAAGATCCAACCAGATGTCTTGTGTATTATCAACAAATAGAACACTAGATTGAAGAGACAGACTGATTGAATTGTGGAGCCAAGAAACGACCATGTCGTTACAACGCTCCCAGAGCTCAAGTAAAGGATCATCGAGGTGTTTAGGTTTGGAGAGGATTCCGTTGATGAATCCTAATTTGTTTTTGGCACGGAGAGATCGACGCATGGAGCGAGACCAGGTAGCATAGTTATCTGTCGAGAGAAGATCAGAGACAAGGGTTAGAGCGGGATTATCACCATGGTCAAGGCGATAAGGGTTCACTGGATCAAGAAGGTTGAGATAGGGAGATGAGGTGTTTGATTTGTGGTCATAGTGGGATTAGGAGGAATCAGAATCAGAATCAGAAGTTGCCATGGAAAAAAAACTCTCGGTAGCTCTGATACCATGTAAGTAAACAGCAAACAAAGGAAACAGAGAGAGCAAAACGATGGCTGGAAAATGATTCCACTATTTGGTAAAACAGTACACAATGAATGATGCACAGCAACATGCATATATATAGAAAAGATTCTAACAGACTAACAAACCAAGCCTATGGTATTCTGCCAGCAAATAAACCTATATACAGGGAAAAAATAAAAGAAAAAGAATAGGGTAAAAACGACAATCAACAATACAAGTAAATGACTAGTAGCTTATCCTTTATCATTTAACACCCTGAACTGTAAGTTTCGCCCATTAAAATGAATGACTAACTGACCTAACCTCCATCTAAAAATGAAGAGCCAACAACTATGAAAATGACTAGGCAATTTTGTCGAAAGAAATTCAAACTTGATCCAAATGGTAAGATTAAATTTGTAGTTGGACATACTTTCATTAATGTGATAGAGTTTAGAACAGTGTTTAAAGACTACGAGAATCCTAGGACCGAATGAAGAAAACCCAGAAAGTGTAAAACTTTCCAGAGAAAACTTTTGTTTTTCATTTCACATTGAAACTGATTTTACAGAATGCTTATATAGTTGCAAAATGGTCTCAGATGGCAATTCATGTGATTTACCACGGTAAGAAATCTCAAACATTCAATTTTACATAACAAACACATAATACCAATTTCCAAACCATAAAATCTTTGTTTTTTTAAAAGCAAGAACAGTAAGTAGAAAATGTAAAACCCTATAGCTTGATCTCAAATCATTGCATTTTTCCACTTTCGTTGTGTAGAGGAAACGGTGTTGTCAAACTTATGAGAGCTAACGCCACTTAACTGAACTTATAGCTTGTGCCGTTAATATGACCGTTGAACAGTAAAAAAATTAACACAAACTTTTTGAATATCAACTTTCCGTTAATATGATTGTTGAGCAGTGAAACATCTTAAAACAAATACTATTACTATGAACTTGAAAGAATAGAGCTTTAATCTCATTTCTTCTTAGTAGTTGCAACTTGTTGGAATTGTTGTTGTTGTAGCTTGCTGGAGAATAGAACAAAGTTGTTGCAGCTTGCAACCATAACATCCTCCCCAAAGCCAAATAGATAGAAATTTTGTACTGCAGCTTGTATTACTAGCTTGCATTACCAAGTTACGCAAATTATTGTTCTTCAAGATCATAACATCCTCCCTTAAACCAAGCAGATAGAAATTGAGAAACTAATTACCAAAAACGCAACACTTCAATTAAATGAACTTTCCTAGGATTTTAATAGATTTTCAAAAATACTTGTGCACCTGTACTTCTTCTTTTGCAGTTGCTGAATCACCCTTCTAATCTCTTCAGCTAAACTTTTCAGCTTGTATTACCAGCTTGCATTACTAGGATACACAAATTATTATTCTTCAAGTTCATAACATCCTCCCTTAAGCCAAGCAAATAGAAAATGATGACATAATTACAAAAAAACGCAGCACTTCAACTAAATGAACTTTCCTAGGCTTTAAACAAATTTTCAAAAATACTTTTGCACCTACACTTCTTCTTTTGCAGTTGTTGAATCTCCCTTCTAAATTTATTTCTTTAGTTGAACTTTAAGCATTATTCTCACCTTTAACATCACCCCTCAGGCAAAATAACGAAATCAGTTGAAGTTTGCTATATAGTATGTGAAACTTGGTAATAGGTAGAGGTTTTGTGAGGAGATCTGCTATCTGAAATTCAAAAGCAATATATTGAACTGCAATCTGTTGAGAAGCAAGCAAATCTCAAACATAATGGGAATCAATTTCTATGTGTTTTGTTCGAGCGTGAAAAAACATGATTAGCTGCAAGAGGACCTACACTTTTATTATCACACCACAAAACAGTCTTGAAAGAAATAAGAATCTTCAATTCCTTAAGTAGCTACTGAATCCAGACAATTTTAATGGGTGCCAATGCAAGTGCTCGATCCTCAGCTTCTGTGGAACTTAAGGCAACAACTTTTTGTTTACGAAAAGACCAACTAATAAGATTTCCAACAAGAAAAATACAAAAACCACTAATTGATTTTTCGTCATTCAAATCATTCGCCCAATTGGCATCAGCAAAACCTTTAAGTATTAATTTGGAAGATGATTGAAACAAAATGTCATGATCAAATGTACCTTTTATGTAACCAAACACTCTTTTACAAGCTGTCTAGTGCATAATTGAAGGAGCTTGAAGAAATTAACTTAACCTGTTTCCTACAAAGAACATATTAGATCTTGTCATTGTTAAATATTGCAGACCTCCAATCAAATTTTGATAGAGTGTTGGATTGTTAAACAAAGGGTTTTCATTTCGAATCAGTTTAGTATTAGCTACTATTAGTGTAAAGCTAGGATTTGCATCAAATATCCGAGCTTCTTTAAGTAGATCAGAAATAGATTTTGGCTGGTTTAGAAAAATAACAACAAATGTTTTGACAGCTTCAAAACCAAGAAAATAGCTCAATTCTCCCAGATCTTTTAGAGCAAAAGTTTGGTTAAGTTCCTTGACAAGAACTTGAATGTATGCAAAATCAACGTCTGTGATCAGTATGTCATCAACAAAAACTAAGAGATAAATTACTATGTCTTTATGGTGATGTATAAACAGTCTTGTATCAAAAAGGAAGTCTGAAAATTCCAGACAGTCCATGCACATTTAAGTTTTTGAAACCAAGCTCAAAGAGTTTGTTTGAGACCATATAAAGCCTTATTCAATTTGCACACATATGAAGAATTTGTTGAATCAATGAAGCCAACAGGTTGAGTCATGTATACTATCTCAACAAGATCTCAATTCAAGAAGGAATTATTTATATCAATATGTTAAATTCTCCACTTGTAGTAAACAACAAGTGTAAGGACAATCCTTATAGTACATGGTTTTATACAAGAGAGAAGGTTTCAAAGTGATTTACCCCTGGAGTTTGTTAGAAGCCTTTAGCTACTAATCTGACCTTGTACCCATGAATAGTGCCATCCACATTATGTTTGATTATAAAAACCCATTGGTTGTCAACCAGAGCCGTGTTCTTGTCATCATATGGTATCGGAGTCTAGGTATTATTTGTCATTAAGGCATTATACTTTGCCTACATTGCAAAAAACCATTCTTTTGAACTCGAGGCTTCATTAACATTAGATGGTTCACAATTTGAAGCTGTGGTAGCCATTTGGACCTAGTTTTGATCAAAACATGCTACCTTTGCTCTTGTACCCATTGGATAAGTGTTACCTGCTAATTTTAATATGAAGTTCTGTGATGCTCAGCAACAAGTAAGTGTACTTTCAATTTGAGTAAGGGAATAAGTCATTGTAAAAAATAACTTGACATAAGCCTGAATAGGTATTATGAAAAGCTGAACTATATGACTCATAATTATTAAAAGCATTGGAAGTCTTGGTGGATGAGCATGATAAAGTATCAAAATTACTATAAGCATTTTGAGTAAACTTGAGTTTTGGTATCATGTAACTTACATAGAAGCTGCCACTTTAATGAAACATTCTGCTCATTTGTATCATTATTCAAGACATTTTGACATGTATTGTTCTTCTCTTTGTATTCTCCCGAAGGCTACTATGAGAAAGATTGAGAGCATTTTAGCTACATTTTTATGGAAGGGGACTTTTATTTCTCATTTTAGCGTTAAGGTAGCCTAGGTTTCTCTCTGTTATCTGAAGAAAGAAAGCAAGGTAGGAATCAAACGGATCTAGACTTGGAATAAGGCAATCATCCTCACTCATGTTTGAAGACTTCTCATGATTCGCACCACGATTTGGTCCTCTTAGGTTCATTCTATTATTTTGAGAGGTCGTTCCTTTTGGCATGTTCACGTTCCCTCCTAGGCTTTTTGGTCTTGGAGGAAGATCCTCTCAAGCCGAGAGTGGTGTAGAGGTCTTTTTGTCACATGCATAGGGGATAGGCAAGATACTTTCTTAGGTAGGATTTTTGGTCGCCGCACGGTCAGTTATGTGATATTTTTCCTTTTTGGATCTTATCTTCCACAAGGCTCTCTTGGGATGCTAGAGTTTCATATATCAATGTCAATGGCATCTAGGCCTTTCCTATTGGGGATCCAACTATTCAATCGATATGGGATTCCATCAATCAGGCTTGGAGATCCGAGATCAGTGACTACATTACTTGGAAGGGACACTCTTCTAGCAAATTCTTTGTTGGTTCAGCTTAGAACTTGCTCTAGGACATGCGAGAGGTAAACTCTTACTCCATCTCTTGTGGTTTTTGGGGCATATCCCAAGCATTCATTTATCCTTTGGTTGGCCACTCAAGTTAGACTTCATACCATGGATCACCTTCAATCGCACGACCTCATTGGTTCTGCTGGCTATGTCCTCTATGGCTCTATGATTGAGACACATAAGCATTTATTCTTCAGTTGTGTTTTCTCAGTGTCAGTCTAGGGAGAGGTTTCTTCCAAAGCCCTCCTAGTCTGGCCTCTATTCTCCTAGACAGCTTACCTCCAATGGACGGTCTTGTATATATCATTGATGCAAGGATGACTTCAGACATCTCCTTGCACAGTTAGTCTTCTCTGCCACAGTTTACTTCATTTGGTGTGAACGGAATAACCATATGTTTAGCCATGAGAGCAAGACGTCGCGTGTGATCACTGATGACATCCTTTCCATAGTCCAAGATCGAGCTTCTAACCTAGCCTACAAGTATGACATCCAAGTATGTCATTTGAAGCCTACCTGACAAACTAGTCTTGTTTGTTTTGAGCCTGTGCGCTCTTGTTTGGAGCTTGTG